GTTGCTGACGCCCTAAGCCGAAAGGTGGGGGGTGACTTGACGTACGTCGTTACCCAGCAGGGTCCGTTGATTCAAGAGTTCGCCCGGATGCAGATTCAGGCGGTCGATGCACTTCCCACAGCTATTTAGGGGAGTGTCAGTGCTAGTATCAATGCCATGCAGATTCAGCCGATGCTGAGAGAGAGAATCCGGCGGGAGCAGGCTTCTAACGAGTTTGTTCGTGTCATGGAGGCCAAAGTTCGCGCCGGAGGCGTCGAAGATTTTCAGCTAGGTTCAGATGGTGCCCTAGAGTTCAGAGGCAGGATTGTGGTACTGAAAGTCGAGGCGTTGCGGAAGAAGATATTGTCAGAGGCTCATACCGCACCATACCTAGCCCATCCCGGGAGCACGAAGATGTATCATGACCTGAAAAGGTCGTTCTGGTGGCGAGGGATGAAGAAGGACATCGCTAAGTTCGTCAAGAGATGTTTTACCTGTCAGCAGGTTAAAGCTGAACATCAAAGTCCGATCGGCCTCCTGCAACCACTGCCGATTCCGAAGTGGAAGTGGGAGGAAGTCACGATGGATTTTGTCACAGGATTACCGAGGTCGTTTGAACATCACGATGCTATTTGGGTCGTGGTCGACAGATTGACTAAGGTCGCTCATTTCTTACCCGTGTCGATGAGGATGTCTTTGGATAAGTTGGCTGAGATTTATACCCGTGGGATCATTCGACTCCACGGAGTGCCCGTTACTATCGTATCAGATAAAGATCCCAGATTCGTCAGTAGATTTTGGCACAGTTTACACGAGGCGATGGGCACGAAGCTAGAGTTCAGTTCAGCCTACCATCCGAAGACAGATGGTCAGTCCGAGCGGACCATTCAGACGCTTGAGGATATGCTTCGCGCTTTGGTTGTTGACAAGGGTGCTAAGTGGGAGTCGTTGTTGCCGTACGTGGAGTTCGCGTACAACAACAACTATCATTCTTCTATTCAGATGGCTCCTTATGAGGCACTTTACAGTCGTAAGTGTCGTTCCCCTCTTTATTGGGATGACGTCGGAGAGCGACGAATACTCGGTCCGAAGATGATCGAGGAGACTGCAGATCAGGTCGAGTTGATTCGGCAGAGGCTCAAGACAGCTCAGAGTCGACAGAAATCTTCAGCCGATCATCATCGACGAGACATTCAGTTCGAGGTGGGCGAACCAGCTTTTCTTAGAGTTCGTCCTATTCGCGGAGTCGTTCGATTCAGGAAGAGAAAGAAGCTGCACCCTCGATTCATTGGCCCGTTCAAGGTTCTCGAGCGAGTAGGCGAAGTCGCGTATCGATTAGCCTTACTCCCGAGCTATCTGGCATTCATAATGTCTTTCACGCATCGATGTTGAGTAAGTACGTGTGCGACCCCGATCATCTCATTCCTCATTCAGATATTTAGGTTCAGCCAAACTTATCGTACGAGGAGCGATCGGTAGTTGTACTGGACCGTCAGGTTCGTCGGCTCCGAAAACAAGATGTTCCCCTCGTGCGTATTCAGTGGGATCGCCACGGAGCTACTTGGGAGGCAGAGGCTGATATTCGCGCTCGTTTTCCAGATTTTCAGTTTTGATGTACATATTTTCAGGTTTCATGTACATATTTCATGTATATTCAGTTTGTTTTGAATTTTCGAGGACGGAAATTTGTAAGGAGGGAGGATTGTAATATCCCGTCAGATTAATAATATAAATCATGTTTTAGTTCCGATATAATAACGTTGTCAATTCTTATTTTCAAAATTAATTATTTTCAGTCAAGATTACCCGAAATTATTTTCGACGTCCTGTTTATGTTTGGAATAATTTTAGTAATTAAGTAACATGCTTAGTAATTAATTAAGCACAATGTAGTGATTAATTAATAATCAATCACATCTAATAAGCAAATTGCCGTAGCAATTGAACTATTTTCTTTCAATTGCCGTAGCAATTTCTTCAAGCCTAGGAAACAATTTTTCCTCTTCTCAAGTACTTAAGACGTGTCATTTTTTTAAGAGGAACCATGTGGTGACTCATCACCTTAAGCCTTTTATCATGTAGCAAGTGGCAAGATATTAAGCCACCAAGGCACCTAGTCATTCCCTCATTTTCTCCCATTCGGTTTGGCTATTAAGTATGTATTGTGGGGAGAATTTTTCCTCATACTTAATACATATACATGCTACTATATATATAAGTACTAAAATAGAGATTAAGAGGGAAGGAGCTTACCTTAGCAATCATCGCACGCAAGCATCGTAGCGCAGAGGCCTAGTAGTACATGCACGGAAGCCCGGTTATTCCGAATAGTGGGTGCAATCAGTCCAGGGTTCAGGAAGTTTGATCAGGCATCAACACTACCTTCATTTTCAGCAGTTCAGGTGGGGACTCAGACTAAGTACTACATTGATTATAATTATGCTACCATGTTTGAGGTATGTATTATCAGTATCCGCTCGGAATGGTCGCCAGTCCGTTCTGGGTTCTTGTGGCCTTAATATGCCCACTAGAGTGTGCACATGGTGTCCGGCTATGCCCGCAGATGTTCAGTATCAGACAGGTGACGTATGTCACGAGATCAGTATCAGATTATTCAGTACTGGTATGAGATATCAGATATCACTTATCAGTTTCAGTTCAGTTATATATGCCAGGATCATGATATTGTTATTATTTTTAATGTTTTACTTTAGTATGAGTTTCTGCGGAGCACAGTGTTTTAGTGCTCACGCCCCCACGTATTTCATGTTTTTCAGGTCACAGAGTCGGGGACGAGGAGTGAGCTGACGAGCTGTTCAGGATATTTGTTTTGACATGTATATTTTATGTTTTGGCCACGCTACTATTCTGCTTCAGTTTTCAGTACTTAAACTCAGCTTTTGATCCGACATTGGTCGGTTAATACATTATATAACCGTTTTTATTATCAGTTTAAAATTAAGGTTTTCAGAAAAGTCAGATTTTCACGGTAGCACTCTGAATCAGTTTTCGCAAAATAAATATTTTATTTATTTTATTCTTGAAAATTTTCAAAAAAGCATACTCTGATTTCAGTAAAATAGCGGAGTGTTACATCATTTTTCACGGAGACCTCGACGAGAAGATCTATATGCACCAGCCTGAAGGTTTTTCAGAAAGAAAGAAGGATATAGTGTGCAGATTGAAGAAGAGCTTGTATGGCCTAAAACAAGCTCCAAGACAGTGGTATAGGAAGTTTGAGAGCTTCATGCACAAGGAAGGATTCCAGAAGAGCAATGCTGATCACTGTTGTTTCTTCAAGAAACATGAGTCCAGCTATATCATATTACTACTTTATGTCGACAACATGTTAGTACCGGGATCAAATATGAAAGACATCAGAAATTTGAAGATGCAGTTGTCAAAAGAATTTGACATGAAGGACTTAGGCCCAGCGAAGAAGATTCTTGGAATGCAAATCACGAGAGATAAGCAAAAAGAATTTTTGCAGTTATCTCAGGCAGAATACATCAACCATGTTTTGCAGAGATTTAACATGGACAAGGCCAAACCAGTGAGTACACCTTTGGCCAGCCACTTTCGTCTATCCAAGGATCATTCTTCTCAAACAAAAGAAGAAGAAAGAGTTCATGGCTAAGATTCCTTATGCTTCAGCAATTGGAAGTTTGATGTACGCGATGGTCAGTACAAGGCCAGACATTTGCCATGCAGTGGGAGTTGTGAGCAGGTTTATGTCAAAACCAGGAAAAGCTCACTGAGAAGCAGTCAAATGGATTTTGAGATATCTACGGGGCACAACAGAAAAGTGTCTGCATTTTAGAAAAGGAGATCTAAAGTTACATGGCTACGTAGATGCAGACTTTGGAGGTGAAGTTGATCAACGAAGAAGCACCACCAGTTATGTTTTCACTGTCGGAGCTACAACTGTTAGTTGGATGTCGCGGATACAAAAGATTGTTGCTCTATCCACTACAGAGGCTGAGTATGTAGCGGTGACAGAAGCCAGTAAAGAATTGATATGGCTTCAAGGATTGTTAGCAGAGTTGGGTTTTACTCAAAAAGAGAGTCTCTTGTACAGTGACAGTCCGAGTGCAATACCTCTGGCAAAAGAACTCAGTGTTTCACTCCAGAACTAAGCGCATTGACATACGATATCATTTCATCATATCTCTTCTTGAGGATGAACTGTTGACCTTGAAGAAGATTGTAGGAAGCAAGAACCGAGCAAATATGCTAACGAAGGTGGTGACCATTGACAAACTGAAGTTGTGCTCAACTTCAGTTGGTCTGCTAGAATAACAGACCGGAGAAGACTACTGCAGTAATTGAGATGTGAGGACAGATTGAAATCAGTCCTCAAGTGGGAGATTGTGAAGTCAAAATGGGCTGCGCCCCCTCATTTTGAAAGCAACAAAAAGAATAAAAAAAGATGCAGCCTTTCTTTGAATCAGCCAAGGAAAAAAAAAAAGAAAAGCATCAACTAGGCTTCAATGTTCACATTAATCAGTACACAAATGTGGAAAAAAATAGGTGTACTCTTTATTCTATAAATAGCTGAGCATTTGATGAACGGAGATACACAACAAAAATACAACAACACAAGAAGAAAAAAAAAAGAAGAGAGTGGGCTAGATAATAATTTAGCTTTTGTGTGTATTTTTGAGTTGTGAGTTGTGAGTGAGTTTGCAAGTGTTTTGTAAACACGAGTGTTTTCTTTTCTCCTAATAAAATATCTGCAGTAGTCCGGAGACATAGGCATTATTGGCCGAACTCCGTTATCAAATTGGTGTGTCCAATTTTTATTTTTATTTCACTTTTATAGATCCGACTTCATGAAAATTTCAGCGTATTTTTTCCAACAGAAAGACATTCCCCTGTGTTGTTTTACAATAATGAAGCAGTTGATACAGCAAAAGCCCATTAAAATGAGCACAAAACTCAAAAGCTCTTGACAGGCTTTACTCATAGACTCGTAGTACTTGTCAAAAACATTTAAAATCCTCTTATAAGCCTAATGATAATCAGTCTTTTGCATCTGTTACTCCATCACCAGTGATTTGAAATCTTGCTTCGGCTTCAGGCAAACAAGGTGAGCTCACGACCTTGCATATTCGCTCTTCGCCCCTTCCCTTTCGCAGGGCGAGCTTGGCGAGCATAAAAAAAGCACATTTCAAAAATAATAAAAAAAAAAAAAAAACCCGAATTTTCAATTCCCTTGTCTACTTTGAGAACAACCCAAATTATTTTATGTGCAAGAATGAGTAGAAAGTGGACAAGAACCTATTTGTAGTTGCATGGGCCATAATGTTGCCACCGATGTGTTTGATCCGAGGTCCCACGAAAATAGCCGAACCATCCACTTGAGCAACAACTTGGTTCGTTATCACAACCGCAACACCAAACTACAGAAATTGATCATAATGGTCCATCAATCAATATACGGCTCAACTACAAAAGAACACTCATGAAAGTTAGTAGCACAATACCAAACCAAGAAATTAGTAATCTCATGGGTCTTTGTTGTATTAAAAGATTATGAACATTCTTTCTCTTTTCATTTCCTTCTGTAATTAAGAGAAAGTCTTGAGGCTAAAAATTGAACTTCTCCCACCCAAAAAAAAAAAGGATTTTTTGTGGTATTACCTCATCAGCTAATTTCGGAAGGCTCCTCGAGAACTTGGCGAGATGCATTTGCCTGGCAGACAATTCACCCCTTCTCGATAAATCCGTTCGGTAAAGAGTGGTTGCGCTATCTACTATCATGAGAGCAATCTGTAAAAACACAATGTGTTTATGAACATTAGCTACTAAAAAAAAAAAAAAAAAAAAAAAAAAAAAAAAAAAAAAAGAAAATGAATAATTAAGAAGAAAATCATCTGCTTGATGGCAAAGGGTGGAAAATGGAACTTGTTTTCAGTAATCACATAAAATGGAACTTGTTTTCAGTAATCTATATTAGTTTTGTACGCTGAAAATCTGTGTGATCCTATTGAAGAAAGAAAAATGCACACTATTTCTATGATTTTGAACCGTAAACTGGTTTACACCTAAGCAAAATACTGGTAGTGTTATATACTAAAAATTTGGATTTAGATGATATTACACTTTTACCCTTTATGAATGAGAATCATGTTAGATTAAACACGTTCTACAATCACCCAAGAGCACTTGAATGAGATGGCTTGGGTCTCTTCCAGCTTAACCAGTGGTTTTGTGTTCGAGCCCTGGAAATGCAACAGTGTTAAAACTCTTGAGGGAGAGCTTTGCCACCCTTGTGGTCCTACTCGGCTTGATCCCGGATTAGTCGGTTCCCCTGTGGATCCGGAAACCGGAAAGTCCCTGTACCAAAAAAAAAAAAACAAATTCTACAATATGTTGTTTTGCATTAGATAGGATGGGTCGTCATCGGACGAACCGAAGATCACTCTATCAATTACTCGCGAAACAAGAATAATAGTTCACAAGTTAGATGAACATGAACACCCCATCGTGAACGGTTGTAGTTTTAGCGGTACAGTTTTTCTTGACTGATTACTTGCACTAGTGCATTTATGTATTGAACAGGATCCCAAAGAGGAACAGTTTGTTTTATACTGATCGTCGTAAACGAACAAAATGAACTAGGCATCGATTAACTACTGCGTTCTCTTAACCCGTAAGATATTAAATAGACATATACATACAATACTTATTGCTTTCATTCACACGGGCGAGTTTTAATGAACTGGACCAATAGACCCACTGCCTAGGGCAATATTGTTGTATGTATGATGTGCTATTAGAATATTCATACCTCTAAGAAGCCTACAAGTTTCGGGAAATTTATGAAGGCAGATAAATATGACCTAGGAAGGAATATCACAAGACCAAGATTCTAGGAGAAGAAAGTAGCACAAATTTTAAATAAACTAAATCCTATGCATCTGAAACTTAACTCAGTGAAAGTAAAATAAGGGTTCACTTCAAAAGCACAATGAAAGATTACAAATCTTAAAGAAATTCTGGAAGAATAACAAAAGAACTAAACAAACATTTTCAAGAATCAAGATCGATAACCTAATCCTGTGAAATTGCAATGCAATGAACCCTTTTGTTGCTCGATTGGGACATGGGGACACTGTTGAATGTCTTCATCTTCCTGTTGTTCTTGCTGCATCATTTGCTTCATCTGCAGCTCCATTAATGGCTCACTCAACCGGAGCTCTCTGTGTGTAACAGTATGTGTGATTGTGTGTGTGTGTGTGTGTGAGTGAGAGAGAGAGAGAGAGAGAGAGAGAGAGAGAGAGAGAGAGTTTTGAAGTGTTTTCGGAAATTCAGAGGCGCCAAAAGAGAGACTTTGAGGGAACTTTTTTTGTAAGCCGAAATGACTAGCTGCATATTGTCATGGGCTTGAGTTCTTTTTTATTTGGCTGGGCCTTGAGTGTAATTTGCTGATGATCAGTATTGGTTGACAGATCCAATCGATCATGGCTGTATAGGTTCGATATAACCACACGTATGGTTCGTTATTATTATTTCATTTTTTTTTCATATAAGCATAATTTTTTAAATAACATACGTGTATATATATTGCACAAATATTATACTGCTACTAAGTATTAAATTTCACTTTATTTGAATATTTCCTTTTTACACAAATGAGATAGTTTTTATTAATTACACGGATATTACTAGTAGCAATATTCATATCCATCTAAATGCAAGAACTTGTATTTAATGTGAGAAAAAACTCAAAACTAGTCCCACATGTATAGGGGTGACAATTTTGGTCCTAATGGAATGCAGAAAATGTGAATAGTCCCACAACTTTTTAAAAATGATCAAAAGTAGGACTTTTTTGCCGGATTTACTATTTCCGGTCCAGAACGCCACGTCGCGCACATGTGACTCATTTTTTTACACGAGCATTGGGACTATTCATATCTTTATGCATACCTGTGGGACCAAAAATGTCGCACCATCTATACCTGTGGGACTAGTTTTGATTTTTTTCCTATCTACGTTGGATGCCAGCGTGTAAGAAAATAAGTCACATGTGCGCCACGTGCGTTCCGGGCCGGAAATAGTGATTCCGGCAAAAAAAGACCGACTTTTGATCATTTTTAAAAAGCTGTGGGACTATTCATATTTTCTGCATTCCGTTTGGGACCAAAATTATCATCCCCTATACCTGTGGAACTAGTTTTAAAATTTTCCCATTTAATATGTAGTTAAAAATCACGCGAGAGCACTACCCCATAGAATAAACTAAATCATCTAACATCAAGCCATAAAAATTAGGGCCAAAAATTAATATAAAATGAATACCAATGCCTAAACCAAAAATTGCAAAATTATTTTTACACAATGGGTCTATATATAGAAATAAGCAATTAAATAATTAACAATGTTTAAATGTGGAGATTTAAGTGTATATATGTAAAAGGATATATGCACATGCATGCATATACATACAGTTACACTTTGTGGTTAAGTTTTGAGGACTGAATCTGAGGGATTTTTTGGGTATTTTATGTGTGTGTTATGTGGTGTGTGTGTGTGTGTTGAACATATGAATGAATGGTTGAACATATAAAACACTTACATTAAAAGTATAAAAATGGAAGATGAATAGATGATTAGATGAGAGATGGAAGATGGTGTTTGGGCAAGAAATTTTGAGATTAATGGATTTTTTTTTTCCCAAAAAAAATTGGGGATCTATTGTGAGTTGAGAAAGTTTTTTCCTTTGGCTTGCTTGTAATGCGTGTGTGTATTGAGGAGGAGAGAACATGTATTTCAATTTTCTTTTACCTTTATGATAAACGACGCTTCCAATTTTTTAACTAAATGAAAGCCAAAAAACCACATCGTTGTAAAGCCTTATTTAAAAACTAAAAAAAAAAAGCCTTGCCACTTCATCTTCTTCCCTCATACAACCTCCATTTTGCCTTTTTTCACCCAAAATTTCTCTTAAAAATATGTAATAATATACATTTAGCAGCAAAAATTCAGCCTGAGCAATTGCCCAGGCTCGCCTAAGAGTAAATCCGCCTCTGGTTGAGTTGTGACGATTTTTAGAGTTGTGCTGCATTTATAAGTCTAGCTTTCGAGAAACAATAATGAGTAATTTAATTAGTTAGAATCATAATCATTTGAATTGGAATCCCCTTGCAAATTAATGGTCTTTTTATTATCACAATTTTTGTCTTAGTTTAGCCTTGTGGGTATAATATCCTATATCAATAATGAAGTTGAGTTAAAGTCGAGTTAGATTTAGAATTGAGATAATTTTTTTTTCTAATTTTATTTTCCTAGAAATTTGATAAACAAGCAGAACCGAAACAAATCCAAAAAATGAGAGAACAAGAATGTGAATGGAAAAATATCTTGTAGAAGGTAAATTTGTATGTGCATAGTATAAAAAATTTCGGGCATTTTTTTATTTTATACTGCCTTGACTGATAAAAATTTATGCATCTGTCGTTGGCTCAACTCGTTAAGGTTGAAGTTTGGCTCGATAACATTGATTCACAAGCAGATATTAAGGTTGTCTGTTGGGTCGATTAGTAAACAACAGGGCTTGAGCCTGAGCTTAAAAATATCAAGAGTTGTGCTCGGCTCGGCTCGGCTCGTTTACATCATAGGATACAAAAAATCATGACTTAGCTTGATTTACAACAACCGGTCTATTGACTGGTCGAGGAAGTCGTATTATGAGGAAGTCAAGGAAATCGAGCAGCTAACCAGTCAACCAGCAAAGCTGTCGACCAAACTATCCTTCGACCAGATGAACGATCGAGTAGTTCAGTCGGCCTCGACAGGTCGACCACTTTGAGGACTTAACACTACACTGATCGGCCTAGTCACAGGCGCGTGAGAGAGCCTCTAACTGAATTTCAGGAGAATATTTACCCCATGTGCAGGGGGACACGTGTCGAGAAGGCAGTGGTTGATAGCAATAACCACCTCTGACAGCCTACCCCATGTGCAGGAGGACACGCGTCCAAAGGGTATTAGTGCATGCGATAGTGGCGACGGCTACCTCTGACACACGCGTATGGTGTGTACGGACGGGCAGTTAGGGTAGACAACTCATCAAATCCGGGCAGCCCTAGGTCAGGTATCTCACCCCTATATAAAGGGGGTGAGCCTTTCTTCTTCAACACGATCATTCCATTACTTACTCTTGAAAATTGATTGAACAGTACACTGACTTAAGCTTCGGAGGCTCTTCACCGAAAAACCCCTCCGGTGTGAGAGTTCTTTGTAGGTGCACGACGTTCAACCAGCGAGAAGGAAGGCGATTATTCAAGTTCCAGTCGGTCGGGAAGTTTTGTGTTACCATTTGGCGCCGTCTGTGGGACTTTCGTATGAGAAGTTGTGTTTGAAGCTCAGCTATGGTGGACGGAATCCCCAAAAACTTGCAGTCGACGTTTGATGATGCTTGGACGACGATCAGGCCGTTTGGACAAGGCCCTCCTCCGGGTTTTTCAGGCCCATCGCAGACGCCGATCACTCCTACACAGGTCCTTCAAGGTGTGGGAGCGACGACAGCGATTCCCGGAGGAGATTTCGGCTCCAATCGTACCCAGGAGACTCGCGCAGCGGCTGCGGCGGCGATGCCACCACCGCCGCCCCAAAACCAAGCGGGGGCGCAACCAGGGGGAACGGTGGCGTAACCAGGAGGAACGGCGGGGCAAGGAGGAGCACGACCGCAGGCAGCGGTGCAAGTCCCCGGCCAGCAGGTGGTGATGACCAGACAAGAGATGCAACAAATGGTG